CTTAACTTTGATATTCTTCTCCATTATCACTTCGGAGGACATGAATTTGTGCATTATACTGCATATGAATCTTTGAAAGAGCAAATTAACTTCCCCTTTGGATTTCATTAAACATACCCAAGTCATCCTTGTACAGTCATCAATAAAAGTAACAAACCAACGAGATCCACCTAAAGTATTAACTTGTGATGGCCCCCAAACATCTGAATGTATAAGCATAAAAGAACTTGGACTTTTGTTTAATGTTATTGGGAATGAGACTCGATGACTTTTTGATAATTCACAAACGTCACAGTTGAAGTTACTGATATCATTTTTTTCAAACAAACTTGGAAAAAGTTTCTTCAGCTAACTGAACGAAGCATGTCTAAGGTGTCGATGCCATAACCAGATGTCAAATTTTTGTTTATACCTTTTAGAATAATCTACTGTCAAAGCCTGCTATAACATGGAAGAGCTTTTTGACTCTAAATCCAAGTAATACAATTGCCCCCATCTAATACCACGACAAGTAGTCTGTTTTGTTTGAATGCTCTTAAACTCACAAAATTCAAGCCAAATAAATACCACACAAGATAAGGCTTTGGTTATTTTGGAGATTGACAACAAATTATAATTTAAGGATGGGACGCTAAGACATAATCTAAGTGTATAGAGTTTTTAAGGGTTAACGATCCTTCCCCAATGACCTGGTTAGATTCACCATTGGCTGTAGAAACAAAGTTTTGTGAGGATGACTTAAGATTAGAAACATGCCTAGAATCAAATGTCATATGATGAGTAGTACCAGAATCAATTATCCATACACTATTGGAAACAAATGTGCATATATGTAAAGACTTACCATCATTTCCAACAGTGGCTACAAATAATAAGGACTGTACGACATCTGCTTTCTTTTCCACAACAGCATCAGTAAAACTTTTATTTTTGATAAGCATGTCAGGTTAGTCGCCTCTCGTCTAACCTTTGAGTAATTTGCTTTCAAATTTGGAACCGGGTTTTTTTGTAGAATATCTCCACACATTTTTTTACCCTTTTTTTTTTTTTTTTACTTTTGACTTTTTTTTTTTTTTTATTACTTTGACTCGTTGGCTATTTGACTCTTTTTTGGTTAAAGATAAAAGAAACAAACACAAAAAATAAAAAAATAAAAATGAATAAGAGATTTGAAAGATAAAGCAACACAAACTCCTTTCTCTGGAGACGACGGTAGTAGCAAATCGACGGTAGGTCGGAGTTGTCGATGGCAGATTAATGACGGCAGCAGCAGATCAAAGGAAGATCGAAGTTTTCTCGGCTAGGTTGGCGACGACAACAGTTGAGAGAGTACCAGAACGTCGATTCTTTTGCGGATAGGTTTGCAATGGCAACGGTTGAGACATCAACAGAATGCCCTTTTTTTTTTTTTTCGTCGTTGATGATCGGATAAATTTGGTGATGTTGAAATGAAAATTTGATGGTGGTTTGAGGTTGATGGTTTTGATTGAAGATGGTTGATATGTGTATTTGGCAGGTTTGATATGGGCAGGATGGTGTTTTCGAGTGACCAAAGTTGGAGGTTTGGTTGGTGGGTTTGATTGATTGTGTCGTTTTCTCCTTCTTAGATTGACAACGATTGGATGGATGTTTACTTGCCGATGATTTTTTTTGGTGACTGCTCTACAATGAGCACTTTTTTTTTTTTTTTTTTTTTTTTTTAGATCAGAGAGTGGCTCTGATACCATGTGAAAAATTGGATATTTCAATTCATTGATATTTACACTAATAGTTATAGGTTTTATATAGGGAAGATACAATCTACAGAATCTCATAATTATGTCAATTACAATATACCGATATAATTAGAAGATTACAGGATATCAAAAATATTGTGAGTATATCCTAAAACTGACAAAATTAAGAGATTACATGATATTTTGGAAATATTCAGGAAATCTCAACAGAACATCCCTCTAAAACTAAAGACTTTCTTGTGGCTTTTAGGTGAAGGGTGACTGATGACAAATGAGGAACTTTATAAGAGACACTACTCAGATGATTCTCATTGTCCTAGATGTGATCACTATGTTGAAGACTTTAATCATGTTTTCAAACAATGTCCTTTGACTTGGAATATCTTGCAAATGGTTGGATGGCCTCGAAGTGTATCTCACACCTATGTTGGGGAGTTTGATTTCCACCAATGGCTTCAAAAAAAAAAAAAAAATAAAAGGATTCCCACTGGGATATTAATTGGAATATCTTATTTGCCTTCACCTTTTGGTATGTTTGGAAGGAGAGCAATAGACTAGCCTTTAACTGCAATGATCATTCTCGCCCTTACACACACTTTAGAGTGATTCATAATGCTTTGGAGTAGGCTAACAACCTGACTTCTGAAGCACATAAAAAACTTCAAATGGTTGATCTTTTTCATTGGAAGTATCCTCAACAAAGGCACTTTAAACTTAACACTGATGGTTCTAGAGCTAGTAACAAAAGCTCCATCAATGTAGGAGGAGTTATCCATGATGATGGTGGTTATTCGTGATGATTGCGGTATCTGGTGTTGGGGGTTTAGTGCCAACAAAGGTTTTAGCTCAATGTTGGATATTGAATTGTGGGGCTTGCTTCATGGTCTTCAAATTGCTTTGGACAAGAATCTAGTTCTCATTTACACTAAATTGGACTTTGTGCTTGTTGTTCATATGATTGTTGACGGTGTCAATTCCAATCACCCTCTTTTTCTTCAAGTTTCTGAATGTCAAGAACTCATTTAAAAGCTAAAATCGGCCCCAGTTGGTCATGTCTATAGAGAAAGAAATTCAGTGGCTAACGGATTAGCCAACCTTAACCACTGCCTTCCTCTAGGACTTCACCTCTTTGATTCTCCTCCTTCTATTGCTTCAGATGTAATTAAGGATCTTGCTTTGGTCAAGACCTAGAGCAGTGCCTCTTTAGTAGGGTGATCGGTTTCAGATATCCTGCATTTTTTTAAGGAACCAGAATTAGAACCCGTTGGTTCCTAAGATTTGGAATCGAAATTAGAATCGGAACCTGAAACATAGGTTTCGGTTCTGGTTCTGGGTACATGGGTAAATTTAATTACCCCTTACTTTTTGAAAAATGACAAATACACCCACAAAAATTACAATACACTCCAATAGTTTACAAAAATTACAATTTAGTTCTGATTCCTACCCAGGTACCCAGACCTCAGTTCCTGTTCCGGTTTCGATTCTGATTCCGTTTCCTGGCTCCATAAATCGGAAACAAATGTGCAAAAAGGAGGTGGAATTTTTTCATTTTTCTTCCAAATCTCTTTAGGTTTGGTTAGGATATCTCTAATCTTTAGGATAGGTGTCAGGAAATAGTCCTTAAAATTGATAAATATATAACTAAAGGGTTAATTTCATTGGCTTTCGTGAGAGATAGTTAAATAAAAAACACTGAGTGTTTTCGGGAAAAAAATTAAATGCCCCTTAAAATGACCAAAACCTCACCTACGTACAAATATCAAAAAACAACATCGAGAAAGAAATATATAGGACATTTTATATTTAACTATCTTTTAGAGAGGTGAATAAAATTAACCCGGGTAAGTAATAATATGTTAGCCACGATAGGAATTTTGTGCTTTGTCTAATAATTTCTAAATATTTCAACCCTATCCTTTCTAGAGGGCTTGGTGATAATTTTCCAAGTGTAGGGAGGAAATCAATCCCATGGAATGAAGATCAAAAGTGATTTAGATTGCAAGATATGTATTCATGTAAAGTCATCTTGTCCTCTTTCCTAAGAAAAGAAAATGATCAGATTAATTAAGTAACTAATGTAATAATATATAGGATATGGTTGCTCTCTATGAATAAGATGGATGGATGTGACTCCATAATCAATAAGGCATACATGATAGAAAATGACACATAACACATTCTATTATATAAATATAAAAGTATATATTGTATGAATATAGTTAATTATAGTCATGGGTATTGAAGATAACTAAAAACTGATGGTGGAGATGAGCTACATAGAAGACAAATTAACCAAAAATCAGATTCGAAGTCTATGGATTATCACTAATTAATTAAGGTCAATGAGAAGAAGACAAAGCTTAAATATGAACCAATTAATGAAGATATAATAATTAAGGGGACAATTAGGCATAGAGCTTTTAATGAGCCAATGCAAAACCAAAACAATAAATTCATAAGCATGAAGAACATTCCAATGTGAAATGAAATTAAAGCAAATGGTGGCCATCTATTATTGTTTGACTTCAAAATTGAAACCCATAAAATAAAAATAGAACTCATTACCTTCGTATCAACATATGATTTTGACATAGAATAATCATACGTCATTACATTGAAAAATATGCCCCTAACTGATTCTTCCATATCTTTTTCATATTATTTATTATTTTAAATTAAAGCTGATATTGATGATATAACTATTAAATTCATTAATCTTACGTCGTTCACAACTAACTAGTTAATTAATTATGCAAATAATTTTATTTCCATATAGTGTTAGAATCTTGTTTATCCAAAAAAAAAAAAAAAAGGACAATATCAGCTTAAGTTTCTCAGCCATTAGAAAAGAATAAAAGGAAGAAATTAAATGAAGGGAGACATACAAAAAAGAACGATTGATTACATGCATGCATTGTTAATTAAATAAAGAAACAGAGAATTAAATCAATATGTATCGATCGATGCATGCTAGAACTCCCAATTGGATTTATTCTTCATCAAACTGCATGACATGTGATATGCCATCACCATAATCTTTTCAAATCACAAGAAATAAAGGTTCTTCTCCTTTAATTAAGTACCAATTTCGAATTTCCAACAGATGGAAGATATATAATATTGTTATATCGTTTCCTATATATTATGGTTACATGACCTAGTGAAAAAACTCAAAAAGCCTCTTCTAATCAGTAATCCATATTCGACTATATTATATATACTGAAATATAAATCTTCATATATCAATATATATGAGTGTGGATGTATATTTATATTATATGTATAATTATTGCAAATCTCACAAATTATGAGTTCCAGTTCATGCTGGGAAGTTGAAACTGCCGTCGCAAATTTCCGTCGCCAAGCGAACCGAGAAGAGAGTTGGGGACGTGGAATGGCACGCTCTGTGGGAGCCGATTGAGCAAAGAGACGAAGGAATTATTATTGTCATCAGTGGCGGTGCTGCCACTGTTAAGATCACCGTGAAATCGCTTCCCGGAAGAGGAGGCGCCGATGGAATTACCACCACAACCTTCATTATTCCAATACGGCAAAGACATTGCGCGTCTAACTGGGAAATTATTTGTAGTAGAAGGGGAGACGATGTTGGAGATGTTGGGCTTGGGAATATTTGAAACACAACTGTTTTGTTGCATGCCTTCTCCAGATAACATCCCTTCAAAGAAATTATGATCATCATGTTCAAGTAATGAATTTCCATAACCACCTGTGTTATTATTCGCTGCAGCGGGGAGCTTTTGATTTTGATGACTACAAGTTTGTAACTGTGTTACGTACATCCCCTCCATACAATCCTGATCCTTGTCCCTCTCCATCGGTCTCTGCGTGTTGTTTTTCTTGTAAATCCGGCATAAAACCCAGTCGTCAAGCTGGATAGAGTTACAAAGAAATTAAAATAATGTATAAACCGAATATCTTTAAGAAGGTTGAAGATGAATTCATTTACATACTCTTAAAGAGGCTTTCTTGTTGGCTAAATCAGCAGGAGGTTGAGGTTTTGCAGCAGAGTTATTATCGACAAGGCGATATTCATGCATAATCCAGTTAGTTTTAATCCCTTTTGGAGGCTTGCCGCCATAAAAAACTAGGGCCTTCTTCACCCCAACCTTTTGATTCCCATTAGATGTTAAAATGGGTTTATCCGTCCCAGTAGCTTTCCAATATCCTGAAGTTGCGGCTCTGTTTGGCCTCGCTCCGTTCGGGTACTTCCTATCTCTTGGACTGAAAAAATACCACTCTTGCTCTCCAAACGTCGCCTTACCTACCAATTTAATTAAGAAAATATAAGTCAACAAACATAATAAAGTAAATTAACAGGATGATTAAGAAATTTAATTAATTAATTACTTGGGAGCTCCCATGGATCAAACTTGTAAAGATCAATCTCTGCAATGATCGTAACTGGAAGTGGAGCAGATGCAGCCTTCTTCTTGAGGTAGTGAACAACAAGCTCCTCATCGGTGGGGTGGAATCGGAAGCCCGGTGGGAGGTGGGGGTGGTGGGAGCTGGAGGAAGAATCGGTACTCTCCATTAATGAATAATAGTTAATTAGTGTAATCATAAAAAAAGAATTGAATGCAAAATATGGAATGGATTTGAACTTGGAAGAGTTAATAAGGGAGGTTGATAAAAACCATATAATATGCATTTGTTTGTTAAGTGCCTAATGAGCACCGATGATCGTCTGACACGTGGTGATGATGAGAAGTGGGGACCACATACATGGAAAAGGCAACAAAATATGGAAAGGCAGGTTTCGGGGGTCGGAGGTTGAGCACATCCAGTACGTTTTGTATGTCATGCTTTTCTTATGCAACAGCCAAAACCCCCACTCTACATCAGTCCAAATAACAAATTTTCAACACTATCTGGGCCTACCTCCCGTGTGCACTTAATATTTTTTTGTTTGGATTTAAGTATTAGTAAAAAGTAAATTCAATTTTACAATAATAATAATAAAACTAATGCAATATCTCTCATTTGTGGATCAAAATAAAATACTGAGAAATTATCATAACTACCACTTGGGTTAAGGTCTATATTTATTAGGGGTGGCAGTCAAGCTGAGTCGCTTGTGAGTGGCTTGGGCTCAAAAAGTCAAGCCGAGCTCAAGCTCAAGCTCGAGTGACTCGGCTACAGTTTCGTGTTGAGTTCGATCGCGCCTAACTAGGCTCGACAAGCTTGCAAGCTTCAGCAAGCTTGAAACTCAAAAGGGGGTATATGCTATTTTTACAAATAGTATAAGGTATATGTGATTTACTAGTTTTAAAACTAACAAATACACCCCCCATAAAAATCAAAGAAAGAACTATTTAATTGGTCATTAAGATTCCTCAAGCTCGAACTCAAAAGGGGGTATTGCTTTTTTATAAATAGTATAAGGTAATGTTATTACTAGTTTTAAAACTAACAATACACCCCCATAAAATCAAAGAAAGAACTATTTATTGGTCATTATTCATCATTGGTGGGCTTGAACATTGTGTTTGTGCCGTAGTAAATAAAGGACAGAACATTACTTGAGTGCTAAAAAAACCTTTTTCTCTCTTCTTCTCTTAAAAAAAAAATATAAAACACTTCTCTCTCTTCTAGCAATAATAAAATAATAATGCACTCCTAACCAAATTAAAGAACTTCTTCAATACCAAATTAAGCCAGATTTTTAACCATATCCAAAAAAAAAGGAACCAAAATTGTTCTTTGGCTTATTCCACTATAAAACTCTGTAATTACAAAACCAAGCCGTCTGAAAGAGAGAAAAATATGAAGACTAAAAGAAGATTAAGAAAGGTTGAAAGAAAAATAAGAAGGAATCAAACTTGGATTGAAGAAAGGTTAAGGTGGGAGTTTGAAAAGAGATATTGATGAAAAATAAGACTGAAGTGAGTTTGATACTTTGACTTATTAAAGAAGGCAAATGAAAGAAAGAGAACATGTGTTTGAAAGCTCGAGCTAATCGGCAATACTCGAGCTTGATAGACGAATTCAAACTCAGTGAGGTCCCTATTTGTCAGCAAGCTCGATGAGACCTATCTGTACGAACGAGCTCGAACTCATAATTCAGTCGATTGAGCTCGAGCTGGTTCGAGCTCGTTACTATACCTGTCGAGCCGAGTTCAGTCCAGATACTCGCTCAATCCAACCCTAATCTATATCATATGGGAAACTTTGTCTTTTTTTTTTTTTTCCAAAAATCTCTAATGATTTTAAAAGTAGATCATTGACACCTTTTGCCTAAATCTGTCAATTGACAATAATTAATTGGGTAAAGTGTTATTATACCTCTTGTATGATAGTCCACATATGCCAATTGAAAAAATCTTTTAAAATTACAAAAAGAATTAAAATAAATAAAAAAATCAATAATAGGGCAAGGGATATCAATGATATGTTAAAAATTGTGAGCAATAAAGTATGATAAAACTTAACATTATCATCAAAGCATATTTTTTCATATATTGTATATTAACTTCAGTCTTATAATTTTTAATAAATTTGGTCCCTAGGTTAGCTAATGTAGGGATCAAAATATACATTACAAATTTTTTACAAGATTAAAGTGTTACTTCAGTCAAATATTAGGATGAAATGTTTATTAGTATAGTATATTATTATCTTGTTATCTGGTATCTAAAATTCAATAATCAATTACGTAAACGTAATTGTACTTTTAAATGAAGGTGAATGGCTGAATGCTCGATTTATGTTTATAATTATGGTATATATGTAATTTATAAATTGCTATAATTAAATTAAGGTGACCTCTATTGTATCAACATCACATCATGGGGAAAATGTTTTTTTATAAGTTGAGTTGAAATGGATATATTTGTCCGGAATAGAGGTGGAACAAATGGGCCGTTAGGCGGTCAACCCTAACCCGCCCGCAATGAAGAGGGTTGAACTCGGACTGCCAATAAGGTGGGCCGGGTTCAACCCAACTTGGCAGCACCCCCTGGCGGGCCGGGTTGCAAAATGGCACCCCGCCGCCCGCGGGTTGCTATTTTATCCTTTCTAAAGAAAGAACCGCCAACCCGCGGGTTGGCTGTTGTCAACTCGTGGGTTGCTGTTACACCCAACGGCCAACCCATCGGGTCCGAAAGAAATAAAAAAAAATTGAATTTTTTTTTTCAAATTACCCCTATACCTTTGAAATATAGCGTTTTATAGCCGCTGGAGGGTCTTTTTCGTCATTTCTTTTCCCCTTTTTTTTTCTATAAATGGCCCTAAACTCTCACTTTTTCTCCAACTCAAATTCTCCATTCTCTCATTTCTCTAATATCTAATCTCTCATTATTCATTTATTCTCTTAATTTCTTTGTTATCAATTTGCTTTATTTTATTTTTATTAGTTTTTGCAATTTTTCAATTCAATTTTCCAATCAATTTCCATATCCAATTCTCTTTCTTTAATTTTTATTTCTTCTACTCAATTTTTTTTTCACTAAATGGATAGATATTTCTCTCCCATCAATTATGATGAGAAAATACTATCCTATCATAGTCCGCTGATTTTACTAACTAATGCAGGGAGATTCAAATAGCGTTTTCCCATCTCAATGATACACCTCAAAATATGCCCCGATTCCACCCAGCTCCCTGGTTTCTAGAAGTCGTCCTCGTAATCTCTCGTCCTTGTCCAACTTCATCTCAAGCTGAGGCGGGTTCATCACCCGCCTTCGAAACCGAAGATAGACACACATAGACATTGTGGTCATTTCGCACAGTTTTACGAGACAAAAATGGCGTCAAGTCGAAAACAAGATACAAATATGTGGAAATATTTATAGCTATTCAGGTAATGGTACTATTACTAAAAAGGCATGCTAATAACATTATCAACATGGAAATGAGAAACAATCAAACTCAAATAACAATATGGGTACTACTTGGCGTTATAATTCTGATGTATATAGGGAACAGTAGTTTTATATATTCTGCACTGATCACCCTATTATATGGCTGAAGATAATATTTTGAAAGAGTTTTAAATATTTTTTTCAGATTAAAAGTTATTCTAAAACTGCAACTAGAAATATTTATAAATTGTTTAGAAAAATAAATTAGAATTAAAATAAATACATAGTTGCATGTTAGTGTGCTCTAACTGCCGATATTTGGATGGTAGAGCTAAACAAGATTATATTTGTGTGACTAGTCATTATTTTGATAATGAATTTAAATTAAATAAATTTATTAGATTTAGATTAATGGATATGTATAGTGGTCAAATTTATAATAAAATTGTTGAAGTTTTAGAAATATGATGTTCTTGATAAAGTGATAAGTTAATTTAGATAAGCAAGTGCTAATACTACACTATAATTTTTTTAAAGCTAATTATCCTTTTATAACATTGAAAGTTTTTTCACCAACGTTGTGTATTCACATTATTATTTAATTGTAAAAGTGGTATGAAAAAATTAAAAAATATTGATAGAATTAGGGTTCTTTAGCTTGGATTACTAGTAAATAAAGAAAGCTGAATTCAAGACATTGTAATAAATCAAATATGTCTCCTAGAACTTTTGCTTAGACATGCTGTTAGATGAATAGTACTATTATTTAATCTTGATTCATGTTTACCTTATGCAATATAATTAGTTTTTGTAGCAAATATAGAGGTCCTCATTATTTGGTAGAAAATGGGGCATATAGCTAAAATATTTCATTTTTTCTTAAATTTTTTACCAATCCACTTTACAACTTTCTGGTGTGTATTATCTACAAGTCCATTGGTAATACATACATTATAAAAATTTCCGAGTTATTTAAAAACAAAACAATGAATTTTAAGGCACTAAGAAAATGGAAATTTTTTTTTAAAAAATATTGGACCCTTTCTTTTCTTTATTGTTTGGTGCTATATTGATCCTAGAATTAAATTAGCAGGTTTAGAAAATGGTTTTGACATTAAGTGAAATTTACAAACCAAAGATACCAATCAAATAGGAGAGGTAAAAAATAGCTTCGAAGTATTATTTCCAATATGAAAAGAGGTTGGGAACCCGCAAAGAGGTAAAATCCAGGGAAGCTACATAAGAAGACAAATGAAACTTCTACTCTGGGGTGCACTAATAGGCCGAAGAGGACCCAATCCGAGCACCCTCCTCTTAGAAGCCACCACCAACAACAACAACAACAATGTATGTCTCCATGCAATCGAGAGTAATGAGCTTCAACAATATTTGCAACCCCGAAATGTTACCAGAGATCCACAACAGAGAGCCAACTTGATCTCTTAGACTATTGGAGAGCAAAATGTATTTTTTCGTTATTATCAAGACTTGCCTTGGATGTTTTCGCGTTCCTGTCTCAACCGTCTCATTCGAACAAACATTTAGTGCAAGTGAAAGAATTTTAAATGAAGGAGAACTAAACTTTCTCCAAAAATATTGAATGTCACACTGTCTTCGAGATGGAACAGTCGGCCATCAAGATCAATACGAGGTAGTGACGATACTTTAATAATCATTTCAATTTGAAATAAGATGAATGGATGAGGAGGTTCAGTGACCTATAAGAGCTTGAATGTTGATATTTTGT